AACGTGTGTTCCTGCAGAATCAGGCTGGAGAAGTTTCGCTCTCAGTTCTAGTTGCCGTGAAGGCGTCTGATGCAGTCACCCCATAGCATTGAGTCATCGAGACTTGACCTGCAGCGAAGCTGGACTTAGTGACTTAGGCCGCTTCACAACACGAAAGCTGTACCGAGAGAGGGCGCGTACTTCGCCATGCTGCAACAGGCAAAATGAGCAAGTAGACGAATATGTGTATATATACATATACACACATAGTGATCAACGGAAAAGCATCAATGCACAAACTATCCGCTTGAGATCTCAAAGTTGAAACAATCAAGTCAGCTGCTGAGTGGATCCTTGTGATTTGTACCAGTTGTGGGGCTTTGGATGCAGACTAGTCCTGTCGCAGACCTATTGGTTGAGCTTGCACGTGTGGCTCGTCCATTCCAAGCAGCACATGATTCAGGACGCACTTTGGCCTTCTAGAATGTTCTTTTTCTAGGTTCTGCGACGCGTCTGAGCGTTGTTCTGAGCAGAAGTGTTTGCTCCTTCTTAATACACCTGGTTACCCTGTTCCTGCTAGTGGGTGTAGTTGCTGCACGAGGACCTAGATTGTGTGAAACATTGGTCTTAAGTTCTTGATCTTCGGTTTGTACCTCAGGCTTCCAGCTTGCTGCATGTGCAGGAAAATGAAGGGATCTTTGGCAGTGCGATTTGTGCGCTCATTACGCTCCTTGCCAAATTAAACGCCTAAGATGACTGCCGTAACGAAGCTGATGGACACATGTGAATACATAAATCAACATGGGTACTGAGGAGAAGAGTCTTTGAATGGGCCTGGGTCATTGTTCGGCTTTGGCTGAAGTAGCTTGGCTCCAATGTCTAGAGCGTGCATCATCTCCCAACAGTTGAAGGCTTTTCAGTCCAGAATTTCATCGGTGATGGGCTGCAACCTGTTTTCTTGGCTCTTGCAAACGGTATGCTGTGGGCAATAGAAGTATTTGTGGAGCAGTAGGTTGTTGTTTGAAGCTGAGGCAGGAGGATGTGCCTGCAACCCTGGCCTGGTTGACTTGGGCAATGTGAGTGCTAAATCTTTCCACGCGTCATGCAAGCTATGCTATGCAGTCCGCAAAGATTTGGATCATACAGGGCTATGCTGAGTAGAGCATCATTCCTCAAATGCTTGTTTATCTCTCACTATTTTTGTTTGGAATGTCGAGTGAACGCTGGTGAACGAGTGGCTGTATGCATTTATGGACGCATCCGTGCGGCCCATTTGACCAGCAAATCGCAGAGAAGGAATTTGTATGACCCGCTTTGTGGCGGATCCTGTCAAGACCCAAGGAATGTAGTGGACGTCTTTATGGCTGGACCGCTGCAGTCAAGTGCGCAGCTTGAAGCTGCAGGTGTGATTTTTGAAGACTTCCCCTGGCTGGTGAAAAGTGTTCGCTTTCAGGACGAAGGCCATGTGTTACAATATTTAAGTTCGACCTTTCCTGAAGCCTTACATGAAGCCTTAAAAATTCGTGGCAATTGGCTTGGAAGTGCCAAGCAGCGTATCACGCCTCGGCGGATAGCACGGAGAAGCGGCACAGGTATTTTTGTGATGTTTGCCTATCAGCAATGCATGGAAATGATTGAAGCGCGAGAGGAGTTGGTCTCCGCTAAATATGATCGAATTGTGCTTACAAGGGCAGACCTTTTCTGGGCTTTTCCACATCCACCCGTAGATGCTTTGTCGGCAAGAGCTGCATGGATACCAGACTCTTTGAAAGATGATTGGGGAGGTTTGTACGACAGACACATAGTCTGCCCACGGTCTGCAGCCAAGTGGGTACTTGGTGGATGGTCGCTGCTGACCTCAGGAAAAGCTTTCAAAATGATACTGGATATATTGGGAGATGGTGCACTGTCATCAAATAACACCAACACTGAGGTTTGGCTGGCTGTTCGGCTCTTGTTTGGGGAAGTGCCCGTCTCCCGCTTCCCTGCAACTGCATACTTGGCCTGCGAGATCTCAGAGTGGCAAACGCCAAATGGTGGGACTTGGGCAGGAGATCAGAGCTTCCATGGCTCCTTGAGTACGAGCTTTGTGTGTCAACCTGGTGGCTTTCGCTATCCGGAAGAGTTCAAGGCGGTAAAAGGCTTTGCTGACTGCTTCACTTCGTATGCTCAAGGTAAATCTTGGTCTCGAGGGGCGGTGCAAAAGTGCTATTGCCCACAAGTGGGCACAAATCCGGCTTTGCACGAGGACCTGTACCAGCTTTGCACTGAATGACAAGATTGATTGCCAATCACATGTTTATATAGCGAAGCTTGATAGTGGCATCAAGTCCTAGCAGCCTTGGTCTCTTCACTTGTCATGGAGAGAGCTGACCGATGTAGACTTCGTCAAGTTTACGAAGTTGCTCACCACCACGATTCTGACAACCTCTAAAGAGGTCAGCGCGGATGTGGAGGCATGGAGTGCAAGCAGACCAGGGGTGCAGACCTGGCAGCTCTTGCATATCTCGACTTCTGATTGAACACAGTGGACGAAAAAGCAACACTGGGATGGCTAATTAGGCAATTTGTTGTTTATGCTCTCGTTGACTTTCCTACTCTGATTCCAGTCAAGTTGGCAAAGTGGTAAATGCCTTTCTGCATGGCAGGCTATGAGCATTGGAACCGAACTCGAGCACTTTATGGAGTATGTGTTTGGCTTTTGTGCAGCTTTAGATGAGGCAGGTCGCATGCAAGTATTTCCTCTGCTGGCTTATCCTTCTGAGATCTACCGAGCTTTTCCCTGAAATCTGCAACAAACAACTGAAGCTTGTTATTATTCTCAACGCAAAAGACAGGCTGACGGCAGTCTTACAAGCTTGTCCCAGGCCTTCTTGCAAGAGGCCTCCCATGGATCTGCAGAAGCTGTACAAAGAAAGGAGTGGCACATTTTTGATGCTTGCGATGATATTACCTTTGCATGCCAGGACAATGAGCTTGAAGAGGGTCAGGTTGGCCTGCTTCCTTGCGTCAAGCAAGCCAAGGGCCCAGAAAATACCGTGAAGGTTTCAGGTCGACGAGATGAACACACAGCAACAAAGCACCCGAGGTCCTTTGGTCGAATGTGTTTTTTGGAGCTTGTGCCCATGACCATTTGCAGTTAGAGGAGCTTGCAGCAAGCTTGGCATGCATTGGTGCTCGAACTGTCACATGCAGCATGAACAATGATCAAATGATGCTACATAATCAGGAAAGAGAAGATCCAACAACGGAAGTATTTGGCTTGAACTTCATCTTTCCTTTCCTTTTTTGGTTTTGATTGGTGTTTTGTCTCAAAACCCCTTTGTTTGCAAACAGAAACTTGGTGTAACCAGAGAGCTTTTGGAGGTGAACTTTGCAGGGTCGGTCAGGTGTACTTGATTCGCCAGCGGATTGCCCTGGAAGCACTCCCGCGTACAGCGTTCTTCACTCGAAGGAGCGTTGTTTTGGGTGTCTCATTCTTGTTACTTTCAATGCGTAGCCAAACGAACCCTGGTGTAACTTTGGAAGCGTAGAACATCCGCAACCGTTCGCGATCGATAAGGCCGTGCGATCGGGGGAAGCTTTTGGAAGAGGTTTTGGATGGAAGCCTGAAATGGCAGATTCGTGTGAAATAGCGTTGAAACGTAACATGTTGAAGCATGGAGGATGATTTTGCCTCGCAGGTGGAGCGTTTCGTGATATCCTCAGTTGCCTTCGCTGTGCCTTCGGGATTGGCGTTCCCAGACACGTTTCTTGGTTGTGTTGAGTGTCGCTGTGCCAAGGGATTTGCTTTTGCTCTGGTCCCCGTGACAAGTCTCAACTAAAATCGCAACTTTGGTGGATGTAAGTCTGTTCAGAAAGTGTCGAAGTCACTCCAAACGTGTGGTGTGGTGTAAAATTGGCTGAAGACATGAAGATGTGATGCAGTAGCGCTTTGTGGCAGGCACAGTACTTTGTGCATGTTGGAGGTGTTGAAGTTGAATTTTCGTGACAGGCGCAGGGAGTGGTGAGGTTGTGACGTTTGGTGTAGCTGGAAGTGCGAAGCTGCTTGGAAGGGCTGCTTGATATGCTCTCTCTGATGAGACTTCCCGCTTCACTTTTGGAGGCAGTCTCATGCGAAGCGCGCGTTTTGCAGTTTTGACGCTGGACTTTTGGAGGAAGGTTTCGTTCGAAACGCACGTTCTCAAGACTTGACGCGTGAGTTTTGGAGACACTGTCCTGCAAGAGCGTCTCCTACAAGACTGCCCGGCCAAGGGTGCCCCACAAGAGTGTCCCACAAGACTGTCCCACAAGAGAGTGCCCTGCAAGAGTGTCCCACAAGAGTGCCCACCAAGAGTGTCCCAGAGGAGTCTTTTACAAGATTGTTTTACAAGAGTGTCCTACATTGTTTCATCGCTTGTTTTTGAGTGCGTGTGTGCATTCGGGTTCGTGGGCTTCATGGTGTTACTGAGACAAATATTTTTGGGATTGACTTGTCTGTAGGAGACCCGCTCACTGGTAGAAGTGGAAAGAAGGGCTGCAGTGACTTGAAAACAAATCTATTTGGAAACAAACTGTTTGCGAGGATGACTTGGGCCGACTTTCCAGTGAGAGAATGATCCTGTGCATCAAATGCCATGTCCAAGTGCTCCTCAATAGATTCTTTTCTTCATCAAATTCAAAGGAGAGCAACATTTTTTGCGCCCTCAAAGTCATGGGCTGCAAATGACTTCATTGAATTTATGGAAGCTTTGTGGATTGACGATCCAAGGGGACAGGATATGGACAGGATAGAAAAACTTGGGTTCAGGTATGTGTCCCTGTGTTGGGAAAGCTTGCTTCAGCTGGAAGGTCATCAAAGGCTTGATGTTTTCGATGGACACTGTTCTGACATTGACATCTAAAGCTCAAGGGGTTTGAAAGCACTCACCTTTCTTCTCTGTGGACATACCAACAACATCAGAAAATGACAAGAGACTTGGAACGACTTTTGCAATGACTTGACTCCACAATGCTCTTTCCCTTTCTTTCTGCTCGGTGTTGGCTTGCATGAGCACAAACTGGCAACAAATACATCGTAGACACGAGGAACCAGAGATACGCATGGCATGGTCCTGTCATATGTCGCTTCTGTGGCAGACGAAGCTGAACCCGGGCAGAATGTGGACAATGTATTGGATTCTTTTGTTGCAGTTGAAATAAAGCACGGCATTGCCGTCTTTTTTCTACAAGCAAGGTCATTGCCATTTCCAATTTTTGCATCTATATAAGTACTATATATATATATAAGTACTATATATATAGTTTCTTAGTTTCAGAAAGATCTCAAGATCTACAGCACTGATTCCAAGGAATGCACACTTCTATGTGAAGCGGATGATTCTTGCAGGTCCAGCAGACTAATCGATGCAACACTTTGCAAAGTTCAAGGTGATCCAGCACCTCGGGGCACTCCATTGACCCCCCTTGCGGAGGAAGATGCCTACAGCAATGAAGGTCCCTTGAAAAGCTCCAGTGTCGGATCTGTGCGGAAGGTTCTGCTGGTCACTTATGCATCTGGAAAGATATTTGAGGAAACTCAGCAGAAGTTACATGAAAGCCTTGGCGTTGCTGAGATTGAAGAGCATTGGCGCTGGAACCGATCAAGCTTTGAGTCGGGTCCTCACGGTGACTGGTATAGGCGGCACCAGCGCGTCAATTTTCAACGTGGAGGTGCTTGGAAGCCATACATTATTTGGCAGGCGTTTCGTCGAGTGAAGTGGGGTGAGTGGCTGGCTGCTTGGCTGGAGTATGTTTGAGTGGCTGGTTGGTTTAGAGCCTTTCTTGAAAAGAATCAGTTTATGTTTACATATATACTTTAATTTTTACTTGTCACGTTTCGCACGTGCTGGTTCAAATGCTCAACTGAATCATGTCAATACTCCCTTGAAGTATTTTGTGATTGTGCCTAGGTTTATCACGATGCTTCTAGGTACGTTCAGGAAGGCTTCAGCTCATCTGTCCAACCACTCCTAGATTGGCTAGAATCGCACCAGAATGAGAATCCTTGCCAGTGTGAGGACGCTCAGATTGATTCACTTTGCCTTGAACAGTAAGACACTAAGACACCTGGTTTCTCAGAATGTTGTGAATCTGCAGCTTCCGAAGGTCTTCCTGCTGTGAGATTGCGACAATCATTTGAGCACGAATGGCTCCAGCAGTGTGCAGAGGACTTAGCAGACTTGCACAGAGAAAACACACATATCCTGACGGGTTCACTTTAGACCTCGGCACATTTGTGAAAATAACCACATCTGTTTTTGTTTCTATTTTGACACGTTTTACTCCGTTTGGGTCGACGATTATTGTGGGTGGGTCTCCAGATAGTGTCTTTTCCGTCAGCCGCCTCCCAGCCTCTGTGAAGTGCTCCATCTCAAGCTTTTCATCTTACTTCCAGTGGTCTGCCAAAAGCTGTACACCGGTCATCACATCAGGCATTGTGGTTCGCAGCCACCAGCTGTAGTTGTGGACCCGGCGGATTATTTATATGACCGTTGCCATCTCGAGCCACAACGCTTTTTGGGATGTAGCTTTTCAAAGTTGACTAGCCTGCACTTTCCCGCATACAATCTTTGACAACGGCCTCATGGTTTCCAGTCAGCAGGGCTGTGCACCCAGAAGCGATGCCAACAAAGAAGGCACCTTTTGATCCTGAGTCACACGGTCCACGATGTGTTCCAAGCCGCGAGTGGAGGAAACATCAGCCCGGCTTTCCACTGGGCGGACTGCATTGCCCTTGACTGTCTTGACCGGCAGAACAGCTTTGCCTTGCGGCCTTTGGACGAGCCCCCACAAGACCACATAGTTGTTTCGGCCGCCTCTCCTGAACAGCCGCAGTGGCCGCAGTGCCGTGCCGTCACCTTTGACTTGTCCATGCAAAGTGACTTTCTTCATTTCCGCATATTCGACAGCAGCTTCTTGCGCCAGCAACCAAGAGAAAGGTTCTGTAGGCTTGCGGTTCGAGCCAACCCAAGCACTCTGCATAAATCGAAGAGGGTCGGCTTGGTCAAGTTCAACCAACAAGCGGATGAACTCCGCAACTGGCTGCGGACATGCGCACTTCGCCTTGGGAAGCACAGAAAAGTTGTAGCAAGGATACCTTAGATCGTGTGCGGGAAAAGTTATCGCAAACAACTGTGTATACTCAGAGATTCAAAAAGAATACACCAACCAATTTCAAGTCCTCCAAGCGAAAGTCAAGGCACACTCTGTGGTACCTTTTCCCCAAAATGTACGTTGTGTGCAAATTTCGCTTGGACCGTTTGTGCAACCATTGTGCGAGCTGATTGCGGCGGACAGTTCGCGGCGTTCCAATGGACGACAGAGTGCATACACAGCCGTTGTGTCCACGTATTTGAAGCCCATGTCCGCCCCCCTGAAATCAAACTCCTGTACAGCGTGGGGTTTTCACGGGTGGACGGCATGACCCACGCAAGATAAAATCAGGTTTCCAAACCTACTTGTGTCTTGTTCCATGAGTGGCATGAATATTCGTATTGCATATGGATATACAATGTACTGTGTATATATATATATATACGCATATAGGTCAACCTAGCATTTATTTGAATGACATGAACATACATGTTTCCGTATCGAACATCAATGCACATTGCCACACAGAACGACATGTGTAACAGTAACAGTGTAATCAAACCCCAGCATCCACAACCAGTCTGTTCTCACTACTACAAACACACAATGCATATTCAGACCTATACTCAATTAACCATAAACTCAGCCGCTGCTCTATAGGCCACCCCATTTTAACTACACAACTAATCGATGACTATGTTATGACATCGATGACAATGTTGTGAAATCGCTGACAATGAGTTGTGATGTTGATGACACTGTTGTGACATCGATGGCAATGTTGTGATATCGATAACACTGTTGTGACATCGATGATCATGTTGACGAACCCTCCAAGTTACATGTGCCTTCTGCGTGTCGTATTTCCACTGTGATTCAACAAAAAGCGGCAAAAAGTGTGCGACAGGGGCGCGCCCCTGACGCGCATAAATGTCCTTGGTGACCACCACAAAAGCATTGGGGTCTTAAACAAACCGGCCTGCTATATATAGACTCTGTAGCTGCCAACATAGGCTTAAAAGTTGTCTATCGCAGTTCCTTCCTATGTGCATTCTTTGTCCACCACATAAGAAAACAACAATCAAATCTCCCCAGGCTGCCACTCGCAGAAGGCTGCTTTTGCACATTCACTCGACAAGAATATTCTGTTGACTGCCCTTTGGTTACATGTACATTGTACATGCTCTTCCAGATTAGTGAGGGCTCTTGGAAACCTTGATTGATGTGCAGAATGTCGTGAGGTGCCTCCCTATGGCACTGCACCAGTTCCATCGGACCAGGCCCAGCAGCATGTGTTTTCCTTGCCACACCCCTTAATCACTCAGCCGGGAGTAGAATAGCTAGACGAATCATTCATGTTGGAGAATGCTGTACATTCCAAGCACTGGATCCTTTCGATAGCTGCAGGCTGCAGACGTGTTCTGCGGTTTGATGCAAAAGCTTGGCACCTGCAGGCCTTTTGTTTTCTACTTGATATGCATTATATTCTTTTTCAACCACAATAGATTCAAGGTTATGAGTAGAGGCCTGGAACCTGGAGGGAGCTTTTGAATTCCGGAAGCATGACACAACAACTTTCGTGCAGGGGGCGAGCCAGTTCTAGGTGTCTCTAAGCCAGCTCCACAAAAGCATTGGGCAAGAAAAGGGGGAAGTGGCAATTCCGAAGAAGATTTTGTCTTGGATTCTTCAAGCTCATTCATTTTTGTTGCTCAAGTCTTGCCCTTTTCAACACAGCCACGATAGCTTGAGGTTTCTATTGCTCTATTCCATTCCCGTATTCATTTTCTCTCATCTACTGAACTGTGATGGCCTATTCATTTTCCTTGCGTCCTTTGTTTGTCTGAATTGCCCTCGGATGGTTGCATGTTCTTTAGGTCTTCTAAAGTCTGTTCAAACCTATCTACTGTCATTTCAAGTCGGCTTTTTAAGAAAAGCATCACGCTTATACAGCATTTTAAGCGCGCCTCGGAACATGCGTCTTCAGGACCCTTTTGAGTTTGCGCGCGAAACACACACTCAACTTAACCATGAGAATCCTAAGAGTTCTTGCTCTTTTTGGTACAAAGGCAGGAAGGAGGCACCAAGGAATTCAATGTCAGGGACAAACCGCAGGCTGTGAGCCCACACACTTAGGATAGGGTGTACTGAACTGAAAGCGGTGCCACACGCCGGCCTAGGTTACCAATTCCTAAGAGTACAGGTAAGGAAACCTGAAAAGGAAGTGGAGGTCCATCAAGTTCAGCGTGGCCATCAACTCTAAAGGAACCGTCGAACGACCGAGCGACAGAGTGACGTCGTCCGAAACCAAAGCCCTATGCGTGACTGCCGAGAGCAAACCGGTGCAAAGGCTGGATTTCTTGTTTTAGGTACAAGCAGGGCCCGGATTGGAGTAATTATCACAGCAGGTACAGGAAACTGGCCAAGTTTCCTTTCCCACTCTCGCCCACAGCTTCGTTGCGTGTGGTAGGACGAGAGTGCCACACGCCCCTGCTGCACAAGGAAAACAACTGTGAAGCTAAAACAATCCGAAAGGATCCCTATGATTCCAAGGGTTACACACACACGCCTCCCCGAGGGGAGGCAAGATTTTAAGCTCCGCGCCACAGGTGGTGTGAGACTCGGTGAATCGACGAATCTCACGATAGCTTGTCTTCTAATGGTAAAAGGCTTCATTTTCCCAAATTGCAGGCTTTGCGCTGCGCCCAGCTGTTGGTTGAGCCTTAGGTCCAAGGTGGTGAGATGTTGTGA